ACGGAACAAAAGCAGCGGAATGGAAACGGATGCGTGTCATACATATTGCGAACGCAGCTAGCTTGCCATCCTCCCCCTCTACTTCAACATCCTCCTCCACATCCCCCTTCTCATCCACCGTCTCCCCGTTCTCCTCCTGCACCGCCTCCTCCCCCCGACCCTCCTGTCAGTAACAGCCGCCTTTCCTACAATGCAGCGACCTGCCTGAGTGTACCTCGATCGTGTGGTCGAGGCTGGTCATCGGGCCACAGAAAAGGTCTGACAACTTGATAATCCCAATGGCGAGTGGGCTTTTCTAGGATCGCCGTAGTTTGCATTGTGCCTAACGACCACGAGCCATCCCATTACAATCCTCATTTCCCCCCTCCTCCTCATGTCCTCCTTGCCTCTTTCCCACATCCTGATCCCCCTGGCACTATGCACGTCCTCCTCCTCCTCCCTCCTCCTCCTCCTCTTCCCCTGCTCATTTTCCTTTTTCGAAACTGCAAGAACTTAAGGCGGAAGCGTGGCACGTGTGGTGCCACAGGCAAGTTCGCCTGGCTGGCGCAGCGGAATTGGACAGGCGTCAAGAAACAAATATTCCTGGCGACGGACCCGGCCATATGCAGTTGTGAGTGACGCGTTGTGCGTGCCGCTTGCGGTGGAGTTTCCCACAAGGCAACGAAACGCGTGAGGGACGTGCCGCAATGGGTGGTGAACGCGCATGCGCGCGGTGCCACTGGGGCATTCGGTGGGGCTCCCTATGGGTTCCGAAACGCTGTACTGGGCGTGGCGGACGCAGGCGGGCGGTGCCCTTCGCTGGAATTCCTGATGAGGCCACGAAGCGCTGTACTGGTTGGGGGAGACGCGCGCGGGCTGCGTCACTGGGGTCTTTCTGTGGAGCTCCCTATGGGGCCACGAAACGCTGCACTGGGTAGTGGCCGACGTGCGTGCCGGTGGGGGCTTCGGTGGGGCCCCCTATGGGGCCACGAAACGCTGTACTGGGAGGGGGGACGCATGCGGGCGGTGCCATTGGGGCCTTCGGTCAAGTTCCCTATGGGCCCACGACACGCTGTACCGGGTGGGGGGTCGCATGTGGGCGGACCACTGGAGCTCCCTACGGGCCCACGAAACGCTTTACCAGGTGGGGGGGGCGCATGCGGGCGGTGCCACGTGGAGCTCCAAATCACTGGGGCGACGAAATGGAGTACTGCCGGGTCGTGGGCGACGCACGCGGGCGGTGCGAATGGGATCTTTCTGTGGAGCTCCCTATGGGGCCACGAAGCGATGTACTGAATGGTGACTGACGCGCTCGGGCGGTCCACTTGGAACCATCGGTGGAGTTCCTTACGGGGTCACAACACGCTCTACTGGGTGGTGGCTGACGCATGCGGGCGGTCCCACTGGGACCATTGGTGGACTTCTCTATGGGACCACGAAGCGCTGTAATGGGTGGTAGCTGACGCATGCGGACGGTTCCACTGGGACCTTCGGTGGGGCCCCCGTGGGGCCACGAAACGCTGCGCTGGGTGGTGGCTGACGCATGCGGGCGGTGCCAGTAGGGCCCTCAATGGGCCTCCCGAGTGGGCCACGAAACGCTGTATTGGGTGGGTGAAACGCAGGGAGCGAGGGCTGCGCTGGGTGGTGGCTGACGCACGCGGGCGGTGCCGCTGGGACCTCCAGTGGAACTCCCTATGGGGCCACGCAGCGTTGTACAGGGTGGGTGAAACGCAAGGAGCAAAAGCCGTGCCGGGCGGTGGCAGACGCAAGCACGAAGCGCTTTCCTGGGCAGGTGAAGCGCAGGGATCAAGGGCTGTGCCGGGTGGTGGCTGACGCATGCGGGCGGTGCCACTGGGACTTTCGGTGGAGCTCCCAAAGGGGCCACGAAGCGCTGTACTGGGTGGGTGAATCGCAGGGAGCAATGGCTGTGCTGGGTGGTGGTTAACACTATGGGCCGCCCCACTGGGACCTTCGGTCGAGCTCCCTATGGGGCCACGAAACGTTGTACTAAGTAGGTGAAACGCAATGAAAAAAAGGCTGTGCTGGGAGGTGGCTGACGCATGCGGGCGGTCCCACTGGGACCTTCGGTGGAGTTCCCGATGGGGCCACGAAGCGTTGTACGAAGTGGGTGACACGCGGGGAGCAAGGGCTGTGGTGGGTGGCGGCTCCACAGGTGCATTCGGTGGAGCTCCCTATGGGGCCACGAAGCGCTGTACTGGGCGGGTGAAGCGCATGGAAAAAAGGTTGTGCTGGGTGATGGTTGGCGCATGCGGGCGGTGCCACTGGGACCTTCGGTGGAGCTCGCTATGGGGCCGCGAAGCGCTGTACTTGGTGCCCGGTGAGGCGCAGGGAGGAAAGGCTGTGCTGGGTGGTGGCTGACGCATGCGGGCGGTGCCACTGGGACCTTCGGTGGACCCCCCTTGCGTGGCCACGAAGCGCTTTCCTGGGCGGGTGAAACGCATGGAACACAAGCTGCGCTGGGTGGTGGCTGACGCATGAGGGCGATGCCACTGGGACTTTCAGTGAGCTTCCTATGGGGCCAATCAGCTTTGTACTGGGGGGTGAAACGCAGGGAGCAAGGGCCGTGCTGGGTGGTGGCTGACGCATGCGGGCGGTGCCACTGGGACCTTCGGTGGAGCTCCCTATGGGGCCACGAAGCGTTGTACGAATTAAGTGGTGCGCAGGGAGCAAGGGCTGTGTTGGGTGGTGGCTGACGCAAACGGGTGGTCCCACTGGACCCTTCGGCGGGGGCTCCCTATGGAGCTACGAAGCGCTTTCCTGGACGGGCGAAACGCAGGGAACAGGGGCTGTGCTGATTGGCGGCTGTCGCAAGCGGGCGGTGCCACTGGGACCTTCGGTGGAGCTCCCTGTGTGGCCACGGAGCGAGGGCTGCGCTGGGTGGTGGCTGACGCACGCGGGCGGCGCCGCTGGGACCTCCAGTGGAACTCCCTATGGGGCCACGCAGCGTTGTACAGGGTGGGTGAAACGCAAGGAGCAAAAGCCGTGCCAGGCGGTGGCAGACGCAAGCACGAAGCGCTTTCCTGGGCAGGTGAAGCGCAGGGATCAAGGGCTGTGCTGGGTGGTGGCTGACGCACGCGGGCGGTGCCACTGGGACTTTCGGTGGAGCTCCCTATGGGGCCACGAAGCGCTGTACTGGGAGGGTGAATCGCAGGGAGACAGGGCTGCGCTGGGTGGTGGCTGACGCATGCGGGCGGTGCCACTGGGACCTTCGGTGGACCCCCCTTGTGGGGCCACGAAACGTTGTACTGGGAGGGTGAAGCGCAAGGAGGAGGGAGGAGAGGGGGGAGGGAGAGGGAGGAGGAAGAGAGGAAGAGGAGGAGGAGGAGGAGGTGGAGGAAGAGGTACGCGGGAACCGTTTCTTCAAAACGAGGACACAACACCACAGGATGGCTGGGAAAAAGAAAAGGCCCCTATAGGGCCGCGGAGTGTGCGCCAGCCAGGCAGTGTGTTGGGAATAGAGAGACCGAGCGAACGAAGACCTCTGCCTCATCTCCCTCTGCCGACCCCCCCTCCCGCACAAACGCGCACACACATACACACACACACACACACGCACACGCACACGCACACGCACGCACGCACGCACGCACGCACACACTCACACACTCACACACTCACACACACACACACACACACACACACACATCCTCGCAAGAGCCAAATTCCAAGTCTGCGGCATAATCGACGTGGCCGGCTATCGCCGTCTCGTGTCGATGAGAGCTCCGAGACGCACCTCCCATGTGGCGAGGAGCCGCCGAGGGCGGGAAGTGCCCGCCACGGGCAGAGCCGGCAAACCCGGATACGGCACCGGGCCGCAGAGCCGCCGAGCGTGCACCGCACCGCGTCGTGCAGGGCTCGCCGAGCCTCCTCCCCCCCGCCCTTTTTCGCCGCGCGCCCCAGCGCGCGCGCGGCCGCGGCCCAGCACGGCGCAGCAGCGGGAAGCCCCGCGGACGGGCCAGGCCTCGCCGGGGGGGAGGGGGGGCGGGCGCGGCGCGGCCGCACCGCCCGCCGCACCGCCTCTCGCGCCCCGCCTCGCGCGGCGCCGTCTGCTCCTCTCATCGCCGCCCCCCTCTGGGAAGCAGTTCCTGGGAGGTCTTCGCGAGAGCGAGGAAGGGCTGCTGAGCCACATGAAGGGGCCGCTGGGGCCGCACAATGCCTGGGATGAAGCCGGACCAAGCGGGAGTGAGCCGGATCAGGCAGGATGATGCCGGAATAGGCCAGCTTTCGGCCACGGATATACCAGCACCGACGCTGCATCAAACCTCCGAGTTGCATCCTAAGCCCCCCCCTCCACTCCCCGATTTCTGACCCCTCTCGACGAATAGACGCGTGAGGAGCCAGTGGCCACGAAACGCTTGTGTCGCAGCAGTGTTAACGCCCAGCATGCGGGCATGCGAACTGGCGCCGTCTGCGGAATTCATGGGATCACGGAGCGTGCGACGGGTGTGCCAAAATGTCCGTCCAGCACGCGGACAAGTCCACTGGGGCCGTGGGTCGACCTCGCCATGGGGCCACGAAGCTTCTGACAGTTGTGCCGAATTGGCCGCCCAGCATACATGCCCAATGGGGCCTTGGGTGGAGCTCCATACGGGGCCAGGAAATGTCTGACGGGGAGGGAGGGGGGGGGGTAGCAAGCCAGTTGCGCTCGCGACATATCTGGCCTGCTCACCTCCCTTCCTTTCGAGTGCTTCGAAAGGCCTCTGTTCGCCCCTAAGACTGCCTGCGCCCAAAGGGACGCCAACATTGCCCTGAGAAACATTGCAACGAATGGTACCGACCGTCGTCGAAAACCATTGCCCTGAGAATCATTACAAACATGCGCATGCGAATTTCTCGCAAAAGAGGCATGTCGTGACTACCGCTCTGCGGGCTCAATATTCGAAAGCGCCGCTTGTGCATGTTGTGCGTGTCTGAGTGTGTGTGTGTGTGTGTGTGGGTGCGTGCGTGCGTGCGTGCGTGCGTGCGTGCGTGCGTGTGCGTGAGTGTGTATGAGTGTATGTGTGCTGTGCTCTGCTCTTGAGCGTGCGAACGCGCCTCCCACTACAATATTACCTGGAGTCTCTCTTAATTGTATCTCACACGTGAAAGTGGCATGGTGACAATGACATGTCGAGAACATGACAACCACGTACCTCCATCTCGACTGCACAACCTGGTCAAGTATGTTTGGCTCCAGTGATACCATCACATAAATCGCTCTCCTTTTTTTGGGCGGTCACACATATGCTCTCGGACCCAAAACATCACAACAATCCATGCTCCACCACCGCCGCAGTCTCCGGGTGTTGCTGCGAGCGGCGTTATACAAATAACGATGCTGTGGACCAACAACCTAGCCTTCGACACGTCGTGGAACATCATAATCACGCATTTCCTAGGGTCCGCGCGCATGTACTGGATCGTCACTGGACCCCCTCCATGGCGCGCGGAGCGCGACAGGGGCGGCGCCGGAGACGCCGCCAGGGGGGCCCAGCGCCGACCTAAGAACTCCCCGCGGACCTCCGACAGTTCATTTGCATGCCACTTGCTCTTCTTCGACGTGACGACTATGCTGCTTCTTGCCTCTCTCGCTCGCGATGGAGCTAGCACTGCAGCAAGTGTCGTCTGGCTCCTGCTCCGCCTCCCACTCGTCGATGAGCAATGGCAAAGCCTGCTGCCTCTGCTGGTGTTACAGGAGCTGCTGGGCCCGATGACGGCGGGTCCCAATCTTGGTTTCTATATCTGCCTGATCAGCGACAACGCCCGCTGCCACTGCGCGGCTTTCTCGCACGCGCTGATCCCAGCGCTGTAGCTGACTAGGGCTGGCCCGTGGACTCCGTCCACGATTTCCGTAATGGTTCTCGGAGGAACAGCGGAGATATTGCCGAAAACCTATCAGCACGACGGCGGCTGGGGCGGCGGCAGCAAGACCTGCCAATGGAAGCACGCCCATATACGCACGACATGGTGTGGACAGAAGCTGCTGCTCACGCCGCGCCCAGTGTTCACCATAGCTTCTGCGGGACGGGTCGCCGTGATAATATGATCTGCTCGTTGCTGGGGCCGAATGATGTTTTTATCTGGTAGTGTGGCGAGAATGGGGCAAGCGGGCGCGGGCATGTTCCTGTTCGTTCGTCTGGAGAGTAGACGGCCTGAGAAGCCTGTAGGAGGGCGCCGAGACGGCCCGCACTGGGACCGTTCAGGCGCCCGGTGCACGGGTGGATCACCGACAGGAAGCTGGAGAAACTGTCCATTTGGTATACTTTGGGGCTGCGCGCTAGAAGCCTTCTTGGGGTGTCTGGGCACTCTTGGGGCCTTTTCCAGGGCATGCTTGGGACATCTCTGTGGCTCCAATCGGTGTTTGGGTCATTGCGGGCGCCCCCTCTCGTCCTCCCCTGGATCCTTCATCCCGTCGATCTTCGTTAGACGCCATCTCGGTGTGTCTGCACCCTCTTGGGGCCTCCTTCGGGTCATGCTCGGGACATATCAGTGGCTTCTATCGGCTTTGGGGGCCATTTTGGGCCTCCTCCTCCTCCTCCTCCTCCTCCTCCTCCTCCTCCTCCTCCTCCGCGTTGGAACTCTATTGGAGCGCTGCTTCGAGCCCAGATGGAGCATCTGGGAGCTGTCCCGAGCCTGTGGAAGCTATCGTGGGCGTCTTCGAGCGCTGAGGCCGTCTGGGATCGTCTGGGAGGTATCACGGGAAGCTCCTGAGGCGGGTAGGAGGTATCCTGGGAGTCGGGTGGCCGCCTTAGGCCGTCTAGGAAGCCTCAGGGCCTTCAGGGAAAGCCGCCACCGTGGGGCCGTCTAGGAAGCCACATGGCCTTCGGCGAAATCCGCCACCGTGGCTGTGCCTGGGTAATGGCTCATAGGCGTCTGAGGTCCCTCTTGGAGGCAGCTTCGGAGCCTCTTGGGGGCCGTCTTGGGGCCTCGGGGCTTGCTTTGGGCTTCTCGGGGACCTCTGAGGACCTCTTGGCGTTCCCTTGGGGGGGGTCTTGGGGCCTTGTGTGGGCGTATGCGGGCCCAGGGCTCGGAGTGTCAGGGTTTTTCCCCGTTCTTTGGCCCCCTGTTGGGCCTGGCTTGGGGTCCTCTGGGGTCTTGGGCGCCTCTTGCGCCATCTTGGGGCTCCCTGGGCCGTCTGGGGACGCGCTTGGATGCCTGTTGGGCCGTCCTGGGGCGGTCTTGTGGCTCTGTTCGGCCGTCTTGGAGCGTCGGCGAGCCGAGAAGGCGAGAAGGCACATCTCCTTCAAACACCACGGGATACTTAAGGATTTTGGTCTCTGGGGGGCATGCTTTGGGGTCCTGTTGGAGGCTCTTGGCGGCCGTATGGGGGCCCAGGACTCGGAGTGTCACGGTTTTTCCCCGTTCCTGGCTTGGGGTCCTCTGGGGCCGTCGTGGGCGCCTCTTGGGCCATCTTGGGGCTCCCTGGGCCGTCTGGGGACGAGCTTGGAAGCCTCTTGGGCCGTCCTGGGGCGGTCTTGTGGTTCTCTTCGACCGTCGTGGAGCGTCGGCTAGCCGAGAAGTCGAGAAGGCAAAATTCCTTCCAAAACCAAATAGAAATTAAGGATTTTGGCATCTGGGGGCATGCGTCGGGGTACTGTTGGAGGCTCTTGGCGGCCCCTTGGGGGGGCCTTGGGAACTTGTGTGGGCGTATAGGGGGCCCAAGACTCAGAGTGTCAGGGTTTTTCCCAGTTCGTTGGCCCCCTCTTGGGCCTGGTTTGGGGTCCTCTGGGGCCGTCTTGGGCGCCTCTTGCGCCATCTTGGGGCTCCCTGGGCCGTCTGGGGACGCGCTTGGAGGCCTGTTGGGCCGTCCTGGGGCGGTCTTGTGGGTCTATGCGGCCGTCTTGGAGCGTCGGCTAGCCGCGAAGGCGAGCAGGCTCCAAAACCATGGAAAGATTAATGATTTTGGCCTCGGGGGACATGCTTCGGAGGACTGTTGGGGGCTCTTGGAGGCCTCTCGGGCCTTGGTGGGGGCATCTAGGGGGCCTCTAGGGCCTTGGTGGGGGCCTCTAGGGGGCCTCTTGGACGCTCCTTGGAGCCTCTTATGGCCACTTCGGCGCGTCTTTGGGCGGAGGGCTCGATGTGTGACGCTCGGGGGCCAGGATCTGCGTGAGGGGTGTCGAAAAATTGCCCTCCAGGGGGCGCATCGGTCCACATGCGCTCTGGCACGCGCTGATGTCCGCCATAGAGAAGAGGCTAGGGTTGACCCGTGGCCTACCCGGCTACGAAACAAGTCCGAGATGGCGCGCTGGCGCAGAGCAGAGACGTGGTCGAACGGATTTCGTGATGGCGTTGGGAAAGGATTTCATGATGGCGTTGGGCTCGAACTTCGGCTCAGGCTCTGGTGTTGGTGCCTGCAGCTGCAGGGTGCTGCTGCCTGCGGCATGTTGCTGCTGTGGCCTGCTGCTGCTGCTGCTGCTGCTGCGGCTGCTGCTGCTGCTGCTGCTGCGGCTGCTGCTGCTGCTGCTGCTGCTGCTGCTGCTGCTGCTTACTTGTGCTGTGCTGCCGTTGCCTACTGCGGACTGCTGCTACTCGCTGGTGATAATTGAAGCTGCGCAGTGCTGCGTCCTGGTACCCTCGCTGGATGACGCAACCTGCAGCTGATGAGTGGAGCAGGGAGCGAGGAGCAAGGAGTCAGGGTCGGGGGGGGGGGGAAGCGAGAAGCAATCAGCGAGGAGCACGGAGCGGGAAGTGAGGAGCGCCGGCCGAGGAAAGAGAGAGAGAGAGGGACAAGGGAGCGCCGACGAGGAGGGGGGAGGCAGACGCCAGCAGCCGGGAGGGAGAAGCGAGGGGCCGGGAGAGAGAGAGAGAGGCGGACGGGAGCGAGGAGGAGCGAGACCAGAGGTGCCAGACGCGAGTGTGGAGGGACGCGAAGCGAGGGGGCGAGGAAAGAGCGGGGACGAGAGCGAGGAGCCGGGCGGGACGCGCAGGAGAAGAGTCCCGCGCACGCACCTCTCCGTGGCCCCGGCGCGCGTGCGGCCGAGCCTCTGGTTTCTCATTCCCTCATAGGGGGTTTTCTGGGGGGTGGCCAGCGCGGTCGCAGGGCTACCCAGGATCCTCCTCCTCCTCCTCCTCCTCCTCCTCCTCCTCCTCCTCCTCCTCCTCCTCCTCCTCCTCCTCCCCCTGTTCCTGCTCCTCCTCCTCCTCCTCCTCCTCCTCCTCCTCCTCTCCTCCTCCTCCTGCTCCTCCTCCTCCTCCTCCTCCTCCTCCTCCTCCCTCCTCCTCCTCCTCCTCCTCTCCTCCTCCTCCTCCTCCTCCTCCTCCCCCTCCCCCTCCCCCTCCTCCTCCTCCTCCTCTCTTCACCCGGAAGCCTCTCTCTCCGAAGCGGTTTTTTGGGGCCGCCCTGGGGCCTCGCCTGGCCCTCGCGCCGCTTGGGGCGTTTTTGGGGCCTTCTCCGGCCTCTGTCAGGAGGGAAGGAAACACACAGACATCCTCCTCCTCGTCCTCCTCCTCCTCCTCCTCTCCCTCCTTTTCCTCCTCCTCCTCCTCCTCCTCCTCCTCCTCCTCCTACTCCTCCTCCGCCTCCTCCTCCTCCTCCTCCCCCCTCCTCCCCCCTCCTCTCATCCCTGCCTCTGCCCTCCGCACGTCCATCGTCGATCCCCAGAGAAAACATAGGAAAATATGGGAAGTGGGGGGGAAGACAAAAACCCAGAAAATATCGGCACATATGGGGAATCCTTCTATTTGTGCATTCATTTGCATATTTTTGCATTCATATGGGGAAGACAAAAACCCAGAAGATATAGGAAAATGTGGGGAATCCTTTCATTTGTGTATTTGTTTGTGGGTCCCAGGGCCCCTTCATTCTGGGGGGCCTCTGGGGGGCCTGCCGGTGGTCACGGGGATCGTCTTGGGGCGCGGGGCGCGACGTGTCTGTTGGAGTTCCCCCTCGTGGGGCCCTCTTGGGCCGTCTTGGGCACCTTTTTGGGCCGTCTTGGGCCGTCCAGGGAGCTCTGATGGGGGCCTCTGGGGCCGTCTTGGGAAAAGCCGGGTCGCATCTAGAGCCTGCTGGGACGCCGTAAAAACATAACAAACTGACATGCAAAACGTTTTAGGCGCTCCGTCGGGAGTGGGACGATGTGGGCCTTTCGGGCTGTTTTGGAAACGATGTTTGACCTCTTTTGGGGCGCTTTGGGGGCCTATGGAGCCGTCGCTGAGCTAACTACAGCCCTATTGGGGCCGGCTTGGGCGCCGCTTCGGCCGTCGTTTGGCTCTGCTGGTGCGTGGCCCGAAGCCCGCAAGGCTGTCCGTCGTGCCCAGGGGGCGCTTTTCGGCCTCTTGGGGCCTCTCGGAATGAAACAACACATATTGATTCACCACACCTTCTGGCGCGCGCGGGCTCTTGCATTGTAAAAGGGGTGACGTCGGGATCCAACTTCACCTCCCGCATCTCGCTCAGCAGCGCCAGCGCCCGCTGCCACTGCTGGCTCGTCTCGCACGCTCTGATCCCAGCAGTGTAGCTGATGACGTTGGGTTCCAGCTTCGCTCCCAGCATCTCGCTAAGCAGCGCCAGCGCCCGCTGCCACTGCTCGCCCTTCTCGCACGCGCAAATCCCAGCGCTGTAGCAGACTAGGGCTGACCCGTGGACTCCGCCCGTCCACGACATCTCTCTGGAATGGTTCTCGGAGAAGCGGCTGAGATTGTGCCGAAAACCTATAAGCACGGCGGCGGCCAGGGCGGCGGCAGCGAGATCGCGCCCTCGTGTCCGAGCTCTTGCAACGCTCCAGCAGCTTTGCCGTCGCGGGGACGCCGTCGTCGCCGCCATCGTCGGCGTCGTTGTCGTCGCCACCGCGACGCCGCCGTCGTACCCGTCGCAGTCGGCGTCGTTGTCGTGGTGGTGGTGGTGGTCGTCGCCGTCGTGGGTTGTGGGCACCGGAAGGAGGGTGGCTAATTCGGTAGGACTGACCCGTGGACTCCTCCGTCCACGAAATCTGCACGAACTGGCATCTGATTGCGGGGCCCGGCCTCGCATTCCACGATTGCTAGTGCGTGCTGCTGCTTGCTGCCGCTGTTGGTAGGGCTTGAGGCCGCTGCTGCATGTTCTTGCTGCTTGTGGCTGCAAGTTGTTGCTGATGGCCAACTCCGCTTGAAGCGTGCTTCTACCCGCTGCCTGCCGCTGCTTACTGCTGCTGTGTGCCGCCGCTGCTGCTGTCTGCTTCGCGCCCACGGAAAAAGATCGATGCTGCCCCAGGGCACTCGGAATGTCGCACGGTGGACTGTGCACGGGAGCTCAGTGTGGACGCGCAGGGAGCCACGTACTTTTGGGCGCTGTCTCCGCGCCCCTCTGGGATCAAACTGAGTAGGGGACTGCCCTCCCTGGAGGCTTCTAGCGTATCTCGCCTCTCTTGGGCGGCAGCGGCGAAGGGCGCCCTGGAGCTGGGAGGCAATAGTCTAGGGAAGTAGCGCCCATGCTGTTGTTCATTATTCGGCGCTCTTTCGCTCGCGCCCGCACCCACGGAGGAGGGCAACGCTCCCTAAGCGGCCACTGATGGCGGGCGCTTCCTTCTCCTTGGGAACCGTTTGGGGCCCCTTTGGACTGTCTTGCGGCCTCCTGGGGGCCTCTTGGGGCGCTCTTGGGCCGTCTTGGGTGCCTTTGGGCCGTCTTGGGGCCGTCTGGGGCCGTCTTGGACGCCTCTGGGGCTGGCTGGGGGCCGTTTTGGGGCCGTCTTGAGCCGTCTTTGACCGCTTTTGGGGCTGCCTTGGGCGTCTCTTGGGCCGTCGTGGGCGCCTCGGGAGTGGTCCTGGGTTCGTCTTGGGCCGATCTGGGGCCGTCTTGGGCCGTCTTGGGGCCCTCACGGGGCGCTCCTGAGGCGTCCTGGGGCGATCTTACAGGGATGAATTGTCCTCTTGGATGCTTTGAAAACGAAAAGAATGGAAAATTCAGAAAGTGAACGTTTTCCCGGAGGATTGGGACAACTTTTCCTTGTTCGGGCTCTCTTAGGGCTCGTCTTGGAGCCCACTTGGAGCGTCGTGGGAGGCCTCTTGGGCCGTCGGGGGGCTATCTTGGGCGTCCTAGAGTGCTCTTGGACCTTTTTCGGAGGCCCTATTGGGCCGTCTTGGGCCGCCTTGGGGCCCTCGTGAAGGCATCCCGGGGCGCCTCGGAGCGCTCTTGGGCCATCGTGGAGCGTCTCGGAGCGCGCTGGGGACTGCTGGGGCTCGCAGGGGCCTTCTGCGCCATTTTGGTCCGAATCGCCACTTTCGCACGCGCGGGGGGAGCAGCAGAGGCGCTGCCGAAAAGCCATCAACACCGCCGCGTGGACAGGCTTCACCAGCTTCCGTCCGGCGCATCACCGCAGGACCCCGAGCTGTCCATGGTGAAGTTGTACGCAGCCAACATATAGGGATACTTATCCTTCAATGAACATAGAACTAGGTATAATTATCCTATTGTCAACACGTAAATAGAAGATAACTATTTTTCACTAGAGATGAATATCTTCTAATCAACCTATAGTTCGGGCTAATCAACATGAGCGTGCTGAAATATGATCCTGAGCTAACACAGCTACCGGGTTGTCACAATTGGCCCGAGCCCCTGGGGTCTGCTCTTGTGCACCCGGAAGAGTTTGGAGAGGCCCTCGGGCGCACATAATTGCACAGCGCATCTGGTAAATACGTGGAGAGGGTCCCCTCTGATTCGCCCAGAGTGTTCGGAGAGGCCTCCTGATGAACAGGATGGCACAGCATATATGGCGAGGACAGGGGAGGAGACGGGAGGTGGGAGGGAGGGGGCCTCCGGGTTATCTGAGTTGGCCCGAGCCCCCCGGGGTCTGTTATAATTCGCCCGGAGTGTGTGGAGAGGACCTCGGGCGAAGAGAATGGCACGGCATATCTGGAAAAGAGGGGGGGAGAGTTGGCACAAATCCCCGGGTCCCACGAAGACGACGACCGCGACGACTGCGGCGGCGTCGTCGTCGTCGTCGCCGTCGTCGCGGTCGTGGTCGTCGTGGTGTTCGTCTTCGTTGTCGTCGTGGTCGTGGTCGCAGCCCTGTCGGGATATCTCTTTTTCTGCAGACGGGCGTACCGCGCTTCAGGGGGACAGGTTCAGCTGTAATCGTCGTGGTCGTGGCAGTCGTCGTCGTCGCCGCCCTGTCGGAATATCCTTCTTTCTGGAGACGGGTCAACGCGTTTTGGAGACAGGTTCGTTCAGCTGGATTCGTCGTCGTCTTCGTCGTCACGGCCGTCGTCATCGTCGTCCTCGTCGTAGTCGGCGTCGTCGTCGTCCTCGTCGTGGTCGTGGCGGCCGTGGTCACCGCCCTGTCGGAATATTCCTTTTTATGAAGGCGGGTTAACTTTTTGGGGGAGCCCGATTCAGCTGGAATCGTCGTGGTCGTCGTCTTCCCGGTCGTAGTCGTCGTCGTGGCGGTCGTGTTCGCGGTCGCAGCCCTGTCGGAGAATTGTTGTTACGAATACGGGTTTACCGCTTTAGGGATACAGGTTCAGCCCGAGTCGTCGTGGTCGTGGTCGTCGTCGCCGTGGTCGTCGTCTTCGTGGTCGTCGTTGTCGTGGTCGCCGCCCTGTCGGAGTATCCCTGTTTACGAAGACGGGTGAACGCTATGTGGAGACAAGTTCAGCTGGAATCGTCGTCGTCGTCCTTGTCGTCGCGGTCGTCGTCGTCGTCGATGGTACAGCATATTTGGCGAGGAGGGGGGAGGAGACGGGAGGAGGGATGGAGGGGGCCCCCGGGTTCTCTCAGTTGAGCCGAGCCCATGTGGTCCGCTCTTGTTCAGTCTTCGGGACCTCTTGGACCGTCTCGGGACGCTCTTGGGAGATATGTGGGCCAACTTGGGGCGATGTTGAGCCGTCCAGCGGCGATCCTGGCGGCCTGTGGGGCTCGCCTGTACCGTCGGAAGCTCGAAAAGGCAAGCATGCCAAAAGATTATATATATATATATATATATATATATATATAACCATTGGAAAATCGGCGATTCTGGCCTCTGGGCGCCCTTTGAGAAGAGTCTTGGAACGCTCAGGGAGTCTCCTTGGGGCCGCGCGGAGCCGTTTTGGAGGCATCTAGGGCATCTGGGGGGCCTCTTGGGGTGGAGGGCAGCCTCTTTGAGCTCCCTGGGGGCCTCTTGGGGCCGTTGCTGAGCTCTCATGGGCCGTCTTGGGGACCTCTGCGGGCAGTCTCGGGGACCGTGAGATTCGTGGGCCGTCTTGGGGCGATCTTGAGTCGTCTAGAGGCGATCCGGGCGGCATCGGGGGCCCGCCTGGAGCGTCGGAAGCACAGAAAGGCAAGCATATCAAAATCCTCAAGCGTCGGAAGCACAAAAAGGCAAGCGTCGGAAGCACGAAATGGAAATCGAGGATTCTGGTCCCTGGGGCCCCTTTGAGAGGATTCTTGAAACGCTCAGGGGGTCCCCTTGGGGCCGCGCGGAGCCGTTTTGGACAATCTGGCGCATCTTGGAGCGCTCTTGGGCCGTCTTGGATGCCCTTGGACCGTGTTGGGGGCCATCTTGGAGTGCGCTGGAGCCGCCCGGAGACGCCCTGGAGCCGGCCGAAGCCGCACGGACGCGCGCGGGGACGCCCGCGCTGCACCTCCTTCTCGCACGCGCATGTCCCTGCAATGTAGTAGAGATGAGTAGGACGGGCAATACGACTACACCCATGAAAGCGCACTCGCACACAAGGATGAAAAGGCTGCTCCACCGGCGGCTTGGTCGGAAGGACTCCCTGGGAAGATCCCTGGAAGAGCTGAAGGAATCGAATGCTGTTTCTCCCGGGTCTCCTCCTCTTCCTTCTCTTCATGATCGTGGTCCTCCTCGCTCTTACCCTCCTCGTTTCGTCACCCTTCTCCTCATGCTCCTCCTGCTCTTCCTCCTCCTCATTCTCAGCCTCCTCCTCCTCCTCCTCCTCCGCTCCCTCCTGATCCTCATGTTACTCTGTTTCTTGATCCTCCTACTCATGCATGGTTCTCCAGAACCTGCATTTTTCAAGCCGACCTTGGTATGGACTGATATCTGCACAAGCACACACTATACCGGAGGTCCGCGCGTGTCCGCACGGATGCCTTGGATCCGCACTGGATCCCCCTCCCTGGCGCGCGGAGCGCGCCAAGGGCGGCGCCAGAGGCGCCGATGCGGAAGCCAATGCCACCCGAGAGCCAAATACGCGCGGACCTCCGGACGTCTGTCCGCACGGCGCTGCTTCTTCCTCGGCTGGTCCTGCGCGCGCGCAGCCGCCGAGGGGTCCGCACGGGCACAGGCCGGCGCGCCGAGAGCGAAGCACCAGGGCCCCCCTGGCCCGGCGGGCAGGGCAGAGCCGACGGGCAGCGCAGGGCCGATCGGACCCTCGCCCGTCCTCGCTCGTCCGCGGGGGCACGCTCGTGCGCCGCCGGAGTATGCCCACATCCCCTGCCGCGGGATCGGGCCCCGGAGACTCGGGCCGCGGTGGGCATAGGGACGCCGCCGCCCCTCGAGATCTCGGAGCACGGCCACCCGAAGCGGTGGGCGCTGGACCCCCCCCGATGTTTGCACCGCGCTCCCGAGTCGGCGGCGCGACCGCGTGCTCACGGAGGCGGCGCCCCCCGCAGAGGGCAGGCCGCCCACGGCCCCCCGGCGGCAGAGCACCGTCGAGCGCCGACCCGGGGCGACAGCGAGCCCACCGAGGCGCTTCGGCGGGCCGGAGCCCACCGAAGCGCCGGCGCGGCGCCGCAGGCGGGAAGGCTCGGACCTCGCCCTATCGGGGGGCAGGCGGTGCGTCGTCGGCGGGGCAGGGCGCGTCTCGCGTGGCGTTCGCTGGGGCCCATGGCAGCTTGGGGGCCAGCACGGCTGGCACACGCCAGGCCGGATGCCGGCGGCACTTCTCGCTCGCGCGCGCTCGGATCCTGGCTCTGCGGCGCACGGCAGTGGACGTCGGCTTCGCCTCCCGCATCCCCCGCACCTCAGCGACAGGGCCCCCCCCCTCTGGGGCACGCGCCGATCCCAGCGTCCCACCTGATGACGTCGGGTCGCAACTTCGCTTCCTGCATCTCGCCGAGCACCGACAGCGGCTGCTGCCACGACCCGACTGCTTCCACGAACACACACAAGTCTTGCGGGCGTCGTGCGTGCGGAATCTAGAGTCGCAGTGGGTAGCAGATCGCGCAATCTACTCCGTCTTGAGATTACCAGACACAGGGCTTAGCTTGGCCTTCCTGGGGTCCGCGTCAAGTTGCGACATCTCATGCAGAGGTACATCGATATCGGCGCTTGGCGTGAGCTTCCACGTCATGTCACTTAAGCTGGCCGAGCGCACTCGCCATCTTTCAATGCCACAGGATGCGCACTAAACCATGAGCAATCGGTTTACAGAATCACTGGCCCCCGCATATGGCAGACGACGTCCAACTCGTGCTCCGCCCAGCACTCGTCCAGCCACTGAGCGACAGGGCCCCGCTGCAGATGCCAATGACCTAACTTGAAGACGCGTGCCGAGGAAGCTCGATTCCAACTTCGCTGGCTAAACCTCTCAGAGCGACGATGTCCACTCTCGCCACGCATATTTTCGCACTCGATTGTCACACCACAACACCCCGCGAATGCTAAATGACAGCCCCAAGCTTCGCCTCCAACAGCCTGGTGAACAGTGACGGCACCTGCTGCCATTCTCCACCTTGCTCGCACATGCATATCGAAACACTGTAATCCATCACCTCTAGATCTAACCTAGCTCTCCAAGACTCACGAAGCAACGACAACGCCTTCTGCCACTGCGAGCTCTTCCCGCACGCGCTGATCCCAGCGGTGTAGCTGACGACGTCGGACTCCGTCGCCGCCCCTCCGATCTCACCGAGCAGTGACAACGACCGCTGCCATTGCCCACTTTTCTCACACGCGACGATCCCGGCGTTGTAGCTGATGGCGTAAGTTTTTCCACCGTCGCCTCCCATCCTCCGCGTCCTCGTCCTCATCGTCCTCCTCGTCCTCGTGCTGGTCGCCCTCCTCGTCTCCCAGGTCCTCCTCCTCCTCCTCCTCCTCCTCCTCCTCCTCCTCCTCCTCCTCCTCCTTCTCTGTTTCCCAAAAAACAAACAAAGTTTTGGACGGGTGCCAGAGGACAGAGATGGGAAGCGGAGACCCGAGTCGCCCAACGCGCGGGTGTCGTTGCATCCCCGTGCCGCCGCCCTGCAGAAGGGCAACTCCCTGGCCCAGGTCGCAAATCGCGACGCGTGAATAGGAAATAATCGCAAATCGCGACGCGTGACGCGTGAATAGGAAATAATCGCGACGCGTGAATCGCAAATTGCGACGCGCGACGCTTCGCGCCCCAGCGGAGGACCCCAGGGACCCCTCCTGGGGCTCCTGGGGGCTCTCTCGCGCGGGCCCTGCGGCCACCAGCTGGAGGGCGCCAGCTGCAGCTGGGTCGGCGGCTTCGCTGTGCTGGGATCTCCCCAGACCGCGGTTGGGCCAGGGCTGCTTAGTGAGCGACTCGCTCACACTGTGGGAAAAACACACACTGTGGGGAAAAAACGCACTGTGTGGGAAAAAACACACACTGTGGGGAAAAAACACACTGTGGGGAAAAAACACGCACGTGGGAACACACACACACACACACACACACACACACACACACTGTGGGAAAACACACACACACACGGAACGTTCGCTGGGGCTCCTGGCTGTGTTTTTCCCACTCGCACCATTGCTCCCTCGGGGCCCCCGGAACGCTGCCTGGGGCCCCGTGGCGGCGGGGCGTGCCGCATCCGAGGCCTGATTTTTTCCTGCGGCAGGCTCGCGTCGTGAAAAAGCTCGGCGTCGGATTCTGACACCGCGTGGGATCTTCCAGCCTCGAAGCATCGGCGGCTTGTCGACCGCCAGAGCGTCATAGCTTGGCCGATGCTCGGCGCCGTCGGCGATCCACCCTGGACGCCCGCAGCGGGGTCGCTGCCGCGTCGGCGCGACGCAAGGCTGCCGCAGGTGAGCTGCGCTAGCAGCCGCCTCGCCTTGCCTCCAGGGCGAGGAGGAGGAGCAGGAGGAGGAGGAGGAGGAGGAGGAGGAGGCTGAGGAGGAGGAGGAAGAATCAAATAGATCACGTTGGGCTCCATCCTCGCCTCCAGTATACCGTTCAGCAGCGACAAAGACCACTGCCACTGCGCGCCTGTCCCGCACGCGCTGATCGCGGCGCTGTCGCTGACGACGTCTGGCTCAACTTTCGCCTTCCACATCCCACTGCGCAGACTTAGAGCCCGCCGCCACTGGTCACTTTTATCGCAAGCGCTGATCCCCGTGTTGTAGCTGATGACGTCAGGCTCCACCTTCACCTCCGCCATCTCTCTGAGCAGCGCCAGAGCATGCTGCCACTGTCGACCCTTCTCACAGGCGCTGACCCCAGCGTTGTAGACGACTCGTGTGAACCCGTGGAGAATCCACGGCCTCCTCCTCCTCCTCCTCCTCCTCCTGCTCCTCCTCCTCCTCTTCCTCCTCCTCCTCCTCCTCTTCCTCCTCCTCCTCCTGCCGTCGATCGCAGGCGACACGCGGGCGTTCGGAACCAACAAGCTTTTCCGGGTCTCCTGCAGGCTCCGGGCTCTGGGGCTGGATGCTGCCTGCGAGTGTCCTGGGAGGGTCTGGGCTATCTCGGAGTGGTCCCCAGAGGGTTCTCGCGGCATCGACGGCTGCGGGAAGCCTGCCGTTCAGTCTCGCTGCATCCTCCTGCAGGAGGAGGACGGGGAGAGCGCGGTACTGGAGGGAGGGGGGGTGCAGGCTCCCAGAGGAGGCTGGGACAGAGAAGGCAGGAGAAGGTCCCCCCCCCCGTGGCAGCCCGGATCGGCGGGAGGGGGCTCGAGACGCGTGTTCGGGTGCCCTCGTTGGCCATCTGGGGCTCACTCGGGCCATCTTCAAGCCTGTGGGGGTTATTTGGGAGCCTTCTGGTCTGCAGCGGCTCGTGGAGCCACCTCGGGCCATTCTGCGGCCCCCCCTGGGCCGGGGTGGGGCCCTCCCCCTGGCCTCCACGGCCGTCGTGGAGCCACGGGGGGGGGGCTGCGGCCGTGCTGGAGCTCGGTTGGACTTCGGACCGTCTTGGGCAGCTCGCCTCGTGGGCAATCTTGGGTGATCGTAGAAGTGCCTGGAGCCACGCGGGGCCGTTCTGGGCTTGTCCTTGCGAGAAAAACGAAACCATTCGACCATAGAAGGTCCGTGATTGATTTTTTTAACCTCGCGGGGTCGTCTTCGGGGTACTCGTGGGCCCGCTTGGGCCGTCCCAGGAGCCTCTTGGGCAAGCTCGGGGCCAGTGTGGGGGTCTGGGGCCGTCTGGGAGTCATGTGAGGGCCCTCCCGGGCAGCTCCTGAGGCGTCTTGGGGGGCAACGTGAAGCTCTCTTAAGCTCTCCAAGGCCTGTTCTGGGCCGTCTTGGGGCTCTCGTTGGCCTTCCTGGCGGGCTCATGAAGGCCTCTTGGGCCAGCTCGCTGCGATCATCGAGGAACCTGGGAGCCGTGTGGGGCCAATCTGGAACGTGGAGAGCCGAGGGGAAATACATAATTTCTGTCTGCTTGTTCGTTCGCCTCGTGGGGCCAGGGTGGGGCTCTGGGGCCGCCTTGGGGCCCGGCGTGGACCTGCTTGTGCAGCTCCTGGGGCCCCCGTTGGGGGGCCCCCGTGCAGTTCTGCGCCGTCCTGGTGGGCTCGCGAAGGCCTCTCGGGCCATCTTGGCGCGATCTCGATGGGACCTGGGGCCGAGTGTGTGGCCGGCCGGGGCCAGGCATGGAGAGAGCGTGGAAGACCTGGAGAACCTCAGAACATGTAGTTAGTTGATGCTTGCTCTTGGGGCTCGCGGGGCCGTCATCGGGGTCCTCCTGGGCCCTCGCGGGCTGACCCGAGGGCCTATTGGGCCAGCTTGGGGCCAGGGCGGAGGGCTGGAGCCGCCTGGGAGCCCCGCGTCGGCCCTCTTGCGCAGCTCCTGGGGCTCTCCTGGGAGGCCCCAAGGGCCCGGAGGGCGCTCCGGGCGCTGCAGGCCGCTCCGGGGCGCTTCGGGCGATCGGGTGCAGCTTTTTCGCGAAAAAACCCTTTCGCACGCGCAACGCTGAGAATCGTAGTACCGATGACGTTGGGCTCCATCTTCGCTGCAGAACTATCACCGAGTAGCGCCAGCGCCCGTCGCCACTGCTCGTCTCTCCCACACGCGCTGATCAAGGTGCTGTAGCTTACGGCGCTGGCCTCCACCTTCGCCTCCCGCATTTCACTGAGCAGCAGCAGTGCTGGCTGCCAATGCTCGCCTTTCTGGCACGCGCTGATAGCAGCGTTGTAGCTGACTAGTGTGTACCCGTGGAGCAAATCCGCAGGCACCCTGGCAGGGGAACGCGGCGGGGCCGACAGGCGGCGACAGCCCATTGGCTGACAAATGTTTTTCCCAAAACAGCTTGCTGAAACGGGGTGCTGTTGTGGTAGAAGCCAACTCAAGCCGAGGGAATTCAAAGCAGAGACGTCCGCAAAAAAATGTGGTGGTCTGGGCCGGTTCGCCTGAGACATCCTCGCAACTCTCGTTTCTGAGTTGTCTGGGATTGGGCGTTTCGCGTGAGTCATCCTCTAAACTCAGAATTCCCAAATGCGCGCAAGAGGTGGTCTGGCCCGTTTCGCCTGAGACATCCTCCAAACTCTGAGCTCCCAGGTGCAGCGCGAGAGGTGGTCTGGCCTGTTTTGCCTAAGACATCCTCCAAACTCTGAGCTCCCAGATGCCACGCAAGAGCTGCTCCAGCCCGTATCGCCTGAGGCATCCTCCAAACTTTCAGCTCTGAGATGCCGTGCGCGAGGTGGTCCGGCGCGTTTCGCCTGAGACATCCTCGCAACTCTGACTTCTGAGATGCCGCGCGAGAGGTGGTCCAGCCCGTTTCGCCTGAGACATCCTCGAAACTCTGGGCACCGAGATGCCGCGCGAGAGAAGGTCCGGCCCGTGTCGCCTGAGATATCCTCGCAACTCTGAGCCCTGATATGCCGCGCAAGAGGTGGTCCAGCCCGTTTCGCCTGAGACATCCTCGCAGCTATGAGCTCTGAGATGCCCTGCGCGAGGTGGTCGGGCCCGTCTCGCACGAGACATCCTCGCAACTCCGAGCTCTGAGATGCCGTGCGCAAGGTGGTCCGGCCCGTTTTGCCTGAGGTATCCTCGCAACTCTGCGCTCTCTGATGCCGCGCGAGAGGTTGTCCGGCCCGTTTCACTTGAGACTTCCTCCGAACTTTGAGCTCCCAGATGCAGCGCGCGAGGTGGTCCGGCCCGTTTCACTTGAGACATCCTCCTCGCACGTTTGCATTCCGAGATGCCGCGCGAGAGGTGGTCCAGTCCGTTTCGTCTGAGACGTCCTCGAAACTCTGAGCTCTGAGATGCCGCGCGCGAGGTGGTCTGGCCCGTTTCGCCTGAGACATCCTCGAAACTCTGAGCTCTGAGCTGCCGCGCAAGAGGTGGTCCAGCTCATTTCGCCTGAGACATCCTCGCAACTCTGACCTCGGAGATGCCGCGCGCGACGTGGTCCAGCCCGTTTCGCCTGAGACATCCTCGCAACTCTGAGCTCTGAGATGCCCTGCGCGAGGTGGTCGGGCCCGTCTCGCCTGAGACATCCTCGCAACTCAGAGCTCTGAGATGCCGTGCGCAAGGTGGTCCAGTCCGTTTCGCACAAAACATTCTCACAACTCTGAGCTCCCAGATGCCGCGCAAGAGGTGGTCCAGCCTGGGGGCCCAGAACACCACATGTTACATATCCCCCCTCGGACCCTGGAAGCCCCAGGAGGCCCCAGAGAGCTTCAGGAGGCCGCAGAACGCCCAGGACAGGCCCTAGGGGTCCCCAGGCGATTCCGAGGAGGCCCCCAGGAGGCACCAGGAGGCCCCTATCAGAAAGTGTCAAGTTAATACACATCTGGTGTCGATTCGTTATTTTTTCCTGCTCTTGTGGCCCCCCCATTTGGGGGGGGGCCAGACGGCCACATGTTAGATATCCCCCCCTGGAAACCCAAGAGGCTTAAGGAAGCCCCAGGTGGGGTCCAGGAGGCCACAGGAGGCCCAGGAGGAAGCCCCAGGAGGACCCCAGGAGTCCCCAGAAAGCCCCGGCAACTCGGAGCTCTGAGACGCCGAGCTCGAGGTGGTCCGGCCTGTTTCGCCTGAGACTTCCTCGCAGCACGTTTCGCCCGAGATTTCGTCGCAACTCTGGGGTCCGAGATGCCGCGCGCGAGGTGGTCCAGCCCGTTACGCTGGAGACATCCTCGCAACTCTGGGCTCCGAGATGCCGTTCGGGATGAAGAGGAGGTGGAGGAGAAGGAGGAAGAGGAAAAGGAGGAGGACATGGAAGGGAAACGGAGGAGGATGATGTGGATGAGGGAGCAGGCAGGAGGAGGGGGAGGAGGAGGAGGAGGAGGAGGAGGAGGAGGAGGAGGAGGAGGAGGAGGAGGAGGAGGAGGGAGAAGGAGGAGGAGGAGGAGGGAGAAGGAAGGGAGTTGCAGGAGAGGACCTAACGGGAAGCGAGTGTGACGTGGACTTGTCAGAACGTGTGCGAGAGGTTGTCCGGCCCGTTTCGTTTGAGACATCCTTCCAATACTGAGCTCCAAGATGTCGCTCGCGAGGTGGTCCGGCCCGTTTCGCTTGAGCCATCCTCACAATGCGAAGCTCGAAGATGTTGCGCGCGAAATGGTCTGGCCCGTTCTGCCTGAGACGTTTCGTAGCACAAGGGCTCCAATCACAACCTCTCTCATTATCCTTCTCCTACGCTTTCCCTCCTCCGTCCTCCACTCCCCCGCCTTTCTCCTCCCTCCTCCCTCCTCCCTCCTCTTCCGCATCCCGCATGGCTCCTCCCTCCCTCCTCTCGCCTCCCGCCTCTCTTTTTTCTTTTCCCGCCTCCACAGGACACTCGGAGCAGCAGCTAGAAACGCGCCGCCCGCGAGAGCTCCCTGCCCGCATTTGAAGCAAGGAGGAGGAGGAGGGAGGAGGAGGAGGAAGGAGGAGAAGGAGGAGGAGGAGGAGGAAGGAGGAGGAGGAGGAGGAGGAGGAGGAGGAGCGCCGCCGGCTCAGCCCCCGCCGCGCCCTGGCCGACGCGGGCGAGGACGCGCGCCCGGAGAGCGGCCAGGCGCTCAGCCGCAGGCTGCGCCGAGGACGGCCGCGCCGCGGCCGCGCGCGCCTCGCAGGTGGCCTGCGTGGCCGCGACAGCAGCGGCCACGCGCGCAGCAGAAGCCGCGCGGGCTGCAGCGGCCCGGGCCGCGCGCCGTGCCCCCAGCGCGCGCGGGCGGCCGCGGCCCGCGATTGTCTAAACCGCGGCTATCTGGCACCTGGCCCACCAGCATCTGGCACAAACCCAGGATTAAAGGTTCATAACTGAAATAAAATCCCTCGCGCTTCGTCCTCGCCAGAGGTGGTACCTGCCCTACTATGCCCTCCTAGGCCCTCCCCCAGGCCCTCCTCCACCTCGCCCATGGGCCCTCCTAGGCCCTCCTCGCCCTAGAGTCGTCCTCGCCCTCCTAGGCCCTCCTCCTCCTCCTCCACCTCGCCCATGGGTGCCCGCACTCGCTCTCTCCCTCACACAGTCCCATCGCCCCCCTCGCCATCGTCGTCTTCGTCGTCATCATCATCATCACCGCCGCCAT